TATGCCAAAGTTGGCATTGTTTTGTGGATCAGACGAGCAACGGAAAGCAGGCCGGTCTGTTGCCATCTTGGCCAGGCTAAGTGAGGGCCAAGCAACGCAGTACGGGGGATATCGAATAACCTCACAGGGAAAATCGGATACGTCGGACTGGGGCTGGCTGATCAGCGCCATTGTTCCCCCTTCGTGTAAACCTCGGCGTTGCAATGGACGGACCAGATTCCTTTCAACCACCACGACTGGAGATCCGGCAGGTCAACCCGTGAAACCATCGGATTTCCTCCCGTCTGTCTAGACTAGACCATGAATCAAGCCGGCTCCCTACTAGAACTAGCGATACTCGATACGTCGTTTGTATTGGGTCAAACGAACTTCAAAAACGATGAAGATGGTATAGAATCACCATGTAGCTAATCATTACGCATGCTTTGACATATCGCTGAACGCCGAGGTGCTTTTGGTGTATCGGTTGTGTCTTAGTTGATGGGTGGTATAGGTCAGTCTGGTAGGACCACCGATACTATTTACTCGACTATCCAGAGTCTAAAAAATCCAGAGTGAGCCGAGTCCGTTCTCTTTCAATTTTTTTTTTCTTTTTTTTAATCTTTGGTGGATCCCTGTGACGAAAAAGTGCCTGCACTTAGCTACTCAGTAAACAAAATGCAACAATTCCTTTGCTATCCTGACCCTTTCTGCTAGTCAACCTCCGTGCCATTCGAAATCTATAGTCATCGTAATAGTAGTAGCAGTAAGAAGGCGACACGTTCTTCGAGCTCTGATGGGGTTGGTGCCCTGCTCAGAATTGGGTTACATGCAGAATCTGAAACGACGACGAGCAAGCCCTGGATGGAGTCGTTTTTTCCTTCCTCCCGGCTCTTTTGTTTCCTCTTGTTTCCTGCGGAACTTCGCACATGGCCGGGGCTTCTTTCCAGTTTCAATACTAAGTGACTGACTAATGAGACCGATCCAACACCCCTCCCCATAGTCGTCCCAAAAGTCGAGCGTTGACTTGAACAAATCACAATCGACTGGTAGACATATTGTGCCTGACTAGTCGTTCCGTCATCCACGGTTACGGCGTCGGTGGGAAGAAACACTCCCACTCCCATCATTACCCCTACGATTCCCCAACGCACTAAACCTATTATTGTCAGGTCCTTCATGCAGGTACCCCCCCCCCACCCTCTCCGGCAGTGGGCACACAGTGGGTGAACACTACTGAAAAGGAACTTGAACTGCTTTGTCTCCGGTGGGGAATCCAGGAACAATTATCCATAAACCAGCTCGTCACCACTAGTCATACCACAGAACCGCAAAAAAACAAAAAAGAAACTCAATCATATCATCGGATGTTCGATTTCTCCTCGGTTCCCCGTTCAGCCCTGGTCTGAAGTTTCCACCCCTCCCGAGGAACCAAAGAAAAGAGAAAAAAAAATAGGGGTAAAAATGCCCCAACTAAGCTAGAAGAGAAATAGGCCAAATCGACTAGAGTCAACAAACAAACAGACAAAAGAGAACCCCCAATTCAAGAGGGAGAGAACCTTCATCTCTACATTGTGTTGGCGAGGCTCGTACTATTGCATCACACTGCCAATGCAAGTCTAACCTGGATATTACTAATTTCCAATTCGTTAGAGCAGCGTTGCTTGAACTACTCCTATACTAAACTGCTAGACCACTGACTACTAACCCGCACTTGTTCTATTTTTACCCTTTTTACCCGTGATAAGAATTTCAGGAAGAAAGTCAACGCGTGATCATGCTTCATTCAAGTGTTTGTAGATTAGCGCTATGTGACTGACTGGAGTCAACCACTGGGGAGCGGCTTTCGCTATATCGCCATGCATGTTGAGAATCCCCAAACATGCTAAACGAAGCGATCTGTCTCAGGTCTGGGGGTCCCCCTTCTCAAACATTAGCTCGACTCGGAGAATTCGCCATATCTGGAACACTCCCACGCTAAGGGTACGTGCTTCGCAGCCCCGGTCCAAGTGTGGGCAGAATAAGGTTTATGCGATCAAGTTAGGAGTTCGATAGTAGACTCAACGTCGCGAACTGAACGTCCGCACCATCCAGGTGCACTCAATACGAGAGGAGTTGCGGTGGGGGTTCTGTCATTCCTCCAACTTGGCGCGAGTCAGGAAAACTGGAAACATCCTATCATGCCGTCAATGGAGGCGTTCGTTCTCGCAAATAGGGGTCAAGGCGAGCTGGTGAAACAGATCCGCAGTTTGAGGCCACTCGCGTGGTCGAAAGCAACTACAGCCCCTCTCTTCGCCGATAATCGATACTGAGGCAAGCATACAGTACGCCCCGAGCCGGAGGCACTATGCACAGCGGTAGCGTGTTTTGAGTGCAAGAGATTCGAAGGGAATTTGGACGCGATGCATGTCATGCGTAGTTGTCAGGTGTCATGGGCCAGAATCGACAACTAGCGACGTCCTCTGCCTCTGCCTCTGCCTCTGCCTCTGCCACCGCCCCTGCCTCTGCCTCTGCTGCTTGACCGGCCTGATGCTTGGATAGCGGCTACGTCATGTTTGCTCAGGTTCAGAGTTCCGCCTGCAAACTTTCCGACGGAGGGCCCTCCAACACCACGTTCTCGCCGTTTGGCGCTGCTGGTGTTCGACTTCGGTGCCGGTTTTTCGAGGATAATTCCATTTTCTCTGGCTTCCTTCCGACGCTTGTTTTCCTTCATCTCGGCCTTGGCTTTGATGCCTCTCCGGTGAGAAGAGGGCATCATTTGCTTGTACAAGGACTCTTTAGATCCTAGTTCCTGCATCCGCAAGTCAAGAGCCTTGATGCGATTCTTGCCAGTTGGAGCAAGATCGGACGCTGAGTCGAGAAGGTGGGATTCCTTTAGGAGACGTTGCAGTGCGAGATCGTTTTTCAGATGGTCCGCATCAATTTCGGTGTCATCGTTGTCATCCTCGGTATCTTTCTTCGGCGTTTTGGCCGTGGTTCGCTCAGAGATTGAGGATGGCGGTTTGGCGGTCTGTACCAGCGTTAGGATACTCAATTTCAATGGGCCACCAAGTATATCCTACCATGAAGGCCTTGCGAGCTTTCTTGTCCATCGAGTCCTGGGACTTTACGTCCCGATGCTCAATTACTTCAACCTCCTCTGGTTCCTCTTCGTCTCCGCTCATACCATCCCAATCCGACTCAGCATCGGAAGCCTCCAAGTCTTCCTCGTAGCTTTCGTCTTCTGAATCATCACGGCGGGATACCTGACCTCCAGGTACATCCAACGGTTGGAATTGAGCTTCGAAGAATTTGCGGAAAATGTCCTGGGAGGACTCGGTGGTTGTCTGCGGCGTGGCCTCGTCATCTGAAGTTGTAGCTCTCGACACAACGGCCGTGCCCCTCTTCCGTTTCCCAATCATCTTTATCGATCCTTGTATGAGTGTGCGTTGGGAACCCAAAAATTAGAGCATAGAAAAGTCAAGAGAAAAAAAAAAGGCCTATGCGATTGAGAAGACTAGCCGCAAACGTGCTTATGTCAGCCGTTATCGCATGATGTCACGTGCGATAAGATAGGTCCGACCCCTCGTTGGATTTCACCGATTATAATCGAGTTCGTAGCGCGCCGCGACATTTCCAAGAAGGCGTCGAACAAATCCTTGAACTCAAAATGACCAAATTTCGCCCTTGTATCGATCTCCATTCGGGGCAAGTCAAGCAGATTGTGGGCGGAACCCTAAGCAATGTTGCTGCCGATCTGAAGACGAATTATGTCTCCAAGCTCCCCGCCGGTCATTACGCCGAGTTATATCGGAAGCACGATTTGCGCGGCGGGCATGTCGTGATGCTGGGCCCAGGCAACGATGAGGCAGCGCATGAGGCACTTCGAGCCTGGCCTAACGGATTGCAAGTGGCTGGAGGGATCACCGATAAGAACGCTCAGTACTGGATTGACCAGGGTGCCGAGAAGGTGAGCCTTTATGCCTGCGCTTGCTGTCTCACAGCGTAAATCCAGTCTGCAGCTCAGCTGCAGGTATTTGATTGGATTGATCTTACTCCATGTTTTTGCGTCTGGATCTCACTGTCTCTGGTACCAGCAACGTGCAGCCTTGTCATGACTGACCCGTTCTCGCAGGTGATCATTACATCATTCCTCTTTCCAGAGGGCAAGTTCTCGAAGGAACGGCTTGAATCCGTTCTTTCTGCCCTTGGAGGCGATCGATCAAAGCTGGTCTTGGATTTGAGTTGCCGTAGGAAGGACAACACTTGGTTTGTAGCCATGAACCGCTGGCAGACCATTACCGAGATGGAGATCAACCAAGGCAAGTTCCTGCCCATGAATTCCATTAGCTCTCTCGCCCATCCTTGCTCGTGTCTCAAGATGCAGGAGCGGAGAGGTGTGGAATATGCCTGGCGATTGCAGTCCCTGGGCTACCGTTTTGCTTCTGTCTGAGCCAGGCTGTAAGACTAACTGAAGCAGAGTCGATCTCATTGCTGGAACCTTACTGCTCCGAGTTTCTCATCCATGCCGCTGACGTAGAGGGGCTGCAGCAGGGTGTTGATGAAGAGCTCATCGCCAAATTAGCCCAGTGGTGCACAATTCCCGTCACCTATGCCGGTGGCGCTCGCAGTTGGCAGGATTTGGAAATGGTTCATGCCAGCAGTCAGGGGAGAGTTGATTTGACCATTGGAAGTGCTTTGGACATCTTTGGGGGCTCTGGGGTAACGTTCGATGAATGTATGGAATGGAACAAGTCGCATTGAGTGGGCATCCAGGGAAACACCTCCCAGATCAAGGACAATCGATTCCGTCGGAGCACATGTACATACACGCACTTTAGGCGGCTCGGCTGCAAAAATATATACTACTAAGCAACATATCATTTTACCATTAATAGTTACTCCAAGCTGGAATATTCACAAAGAATATTGTTATCTTCAACGGACCGTGGTAGTTTACCACCAGCAGACATATATACAATACTAGGTATATATATACCTTCGTCTACATCCCACTTCCTTGGTGGAATGACGCGGCCATCCGTCGCAGGTCGAGACAGCCGGAAAGACCGTCAGTGCCGAAAGCGGCTTAGCGGTGACCGCACCAGCACCGCACCGGCACCGCCGAGTTCCTAGTCGACATCACAGCTTCTCCAACTGAATCTCAGCCCTGGGTCAATTTCAACTCACTCCCTTCATCTGTCTGCGTCTTGCTTGTTTTAAAATTAGCTTCCACACAATACAAGAGTATATCTACCTTCCGCCTATCTTTATACAGCTTGACCGGCCCGCTCCACCCTCCCTTCTGCCTTCCGTATTGTCAGCCTTCGAACGCTATCGCCCCCTCTTCAGCCAACAAGATGAAGCCCGTCGTATCTTTGATGAACGCTTGGTCCTGGTAAATTCAGACCTCTCAAACATCACCTCCAATGTACCATTCGAGATAACTGACCGAATCTCTCCAGCGTGGTCATATCTCTCTTCGCCATCGTCATTCTCTCAGTCCTCGGATCGCTATTCCAAGTATGGCACCTTTATCACCACTTCCTCCCACGAGACTCCAGCCGCTTCACACCCCCGCTCAAACAAACCGCCATGACTAACCCCCTGACACAAACAGAGAGAACACCACAGCTTCACCGGCGGTGAAGAAGAACCCGAGAATGGCGCCGCAGTCGCTGCCTCCATCTACACCGCTGTCCTTGTATACGTCGTACGTTCCGTTCCCACCCGCATCCATGATCCCACCCAGGCAACAGAGAATCCGTCATGACAGATGCTAACGTACGGTCCTTTCTCTCTTCCTACAGGCATTCTTCGTATTCTGCGCCTTCCAGGCCTACCTGCACACGAGAAGCCGCAGGGGCGGCGCCATCTCTTTGAGCTAAATCCACTACACCCGGCCGGTGGTTCCAAGGAAAAAAAACCCCCTGCTCTTATGTGTCTTCCGCAAACCTTATTCCCGCCCTATACTACCGTGTTTTTGTTTTTATATCCCTATCTCGAAATGAACGTCGTTTACAACTGCGTGTGGGCTTGCTTTGTCGGGTTCGGATCCCCGGGGGGAGGATCATGGTTCTTTCTGATCTAGGCGCTGGCTGCTGCATCGTTCGCCCCCCTTCCACAAAGAAGTTGCGTGGCTGTGTGGCATCTGCCTCTCGCGGGGAGGGGGGTAGAAGATTGAATCACGAGCTGCCTTGCTTTACAGGCACAGTAGGCGATTTGACTTGCTTTGCTTCTGGTCCTCGGCGGCAGGAGAAGGGCACCAGATCCGCCGCTATCTGCTTCTTCCTTGAGCGAAGTGCCGGATCCTCTTTTCACTCTATTTTTTGGTGATTTTGTTCGCTTGTTTATTCTTCATAGACCCATGAAGATGGTGTATGGTATGTCTGTATATAGTACGTACGTTTAGTCCTGTGAAAGAGCGCGCGTTGCTTCTTTCGTGTTGGTTACTTACTTCTGCCCCTGTTTATGGATCTCCCCAGCATCCTATCCAACCAGCGATTGGACAAGTCCTTTATAAACCACCGCTTATGCGTTAGTGTTGTAGAAGTATAGATTCCATACCCGCCTCTTTCTTTTCTGATTAGATACAACAACGCATTCTTTAGGTCATTGGCACCCCTGTAAACAAGTAGGCCGTTCACGTCGCTCTTAAAACCTAGCCAAAAATATGTAAGGTGTATAAGGGAAGAAAAAACACAGCCGCCGTAGATCGCTTTTCGTTTCGAACAACACTCCTTGGAACGCCCCGATGCGCGGACCAACCCATGGCCCAGATAAAACAAGCACTTTTGGAGAGATAATACAGACCTCGGGAATTCTTTCTGAATAGAGGCATTATGGGATCATGAAAACATCAGCGATATCACCCGTGGAAACATCAGAAGAACTCCTCATCTTCAATGGGGTCCAGCGTCTTGGACATGTACGGGCCATCCAGTGAGTAACCCAGACGAGCGTAATAGCTGCGGACACCGACTCCGGAGATGACACTGATCTTTTGACTGCCATGCTCCTCACGGGCGATCCGCTCAGCCTCCTCCATGAGCAAGGTGCCGAATCCACGGTGCTGGAACTTGCGGGGATCACGGCCGTGGAGGGGGACAGCCGAGCCGTAGACGTGCAGCTCTCGGACAATACTTGTCTGTTGGCCGGTGAATTCGGGGCGGAAGGTGTGCGTGGCGCTGCACTTGCGGAGGCGCAGAAGTCCGATCAGGATGTCTTGCTTGGGGTCCTCGTAGGCCAGGAAGGTCTCCCAGCCCCCATTGGCGTAGTAGTCCCGACGAACCAGCTCCACTTGCGAAGGTCGAATCTTGTTCTTGACCTCATTGATACCCACCTCTCGGGTCCGGACATCGCGACAAGTCGTTCCGAAGTCCTTCATACGGGCCAAGGCGAGCTCACGCAGGTTGCCGTTCTCGACACCGGAAGTGACGAGCGGCATGGGGATGTCGCGCTGGACACGGTAGATACGAGTCCACGGGGGCACCAGAGCAAGAATACGGGCGACGAGGTCGATCAGCGCGTTCGGGGTGTAGTTCTTGTACCGACCAGTTCTCCATAGCTCGTAGAGACCGGTTCCACGAATGACAAGGGTGGGGTAGAGCTTCAGACCGTCGGTCCGGAAAGCTGGGTTTTCAAAGTATTCCTGGAACTGGAAGAGATCGCGCTCCATGCCCACATTGGGCAGATCGGGCATCATATGGCTGACTACCTTGAAGCCAGCATCCTTTGCGAGCTTGAAAGTTTCCGCCACCGCAGCGACAGTATGGCCTCTGTTCGTGTCCCGGGCAACATCCTCGTACAAACTCTGGACTCCAATCTCCAGTCGCGTGCAGCCATAGCGCAACATACTGCTCAGATGGGTGTCGAGACAGTAGTCCGGACGGGTCTCGATGGTGATACCGACGCACTTGATGTTACTCATCTCACCGGCCTGCACCGCTTCGTCGACGTTGTCTGTTTGATAGCCACTCAGAGCATTATGCAGCTGGGCCACAAAAGATTCTCTGTAGTCTTCCGGAAGAGACATGAACGTTCCACCCATGATGATATATTCCACCTTATCAACGCTGTGGCCGAGGGACTTGATCTGGTCAACACGCCCTCGAGCCTGTTCGAAAGGATCATAGCGGGCACGGATAGCGCGCATCGAGGTGGGCTCGTAGCCAGTGTAGGACTGTGTGGAATACTCGAAATCGGAGTCGGGGCCACCGGGGCAATAGACACAAATGTTTCCCGTGTATGCGATATGGGGACAGCGGTGGGGTTTGCTCATGACGGCGACGACGGCAATACCGGAGGAGGTTCCTAGCGGCAACTGTTTAGTATATGCGGACGGCATGCCTCATAAAGGCACGAAACAACATACTGATTGGTTTGGCAATCAATTTGGGAAGGATATATTTCTTGTAATGCTCGGGAACTGCCGCGATGATGGCTGTCAGAGGGGGTTGAGTGGACAAGGCATGCTTTTTGGCGATTTGACCCCGCAGCTTGTTGAGGTTGATATCTTTGCGGGGCTTCGTGGGATCACTCTGCGATTCATGGTCCTGAATTAGAGCATTCGCAATATCAGAACAAGCTCGCATGAACCGTTCATTCTCCGAGGGAAGTTTGGCATTTTTCTTGGGCTTCGAGGATGGTGGCGGCATAGTCATAGTGACGGTCGCCATCGTGGGTTAGAGATGCGGGCGACGGTCGACGGTCGACGGTCGCCAAATGAGGTTGCGGAAGTTATTTTCGAATTAGAAGCGACCAGAGAGGCAGATGCGCGGTAACACTTGCGCCCGTGATGGCCGTTCGCTCGGGTTCAATCAAAAGTACAATTTAATGAGTGAGCGACTATTATAATGGTTGGATTGGAATAACAACTGGAAAAGAGGTGAGTGGTGACTTGTGACCCGGGTATGGCACGCGGCAAGCGTGGAAGGGAAAGGGAAAAAAAAGCGGGAGGACCGAGGGTGCCACAGGTTGGTTGGTTGAGTCTCCGTACTAAGTAATGAATGTAAAGTGAGTGAGGGAGAAAACCGACCGACCGCCCGTGACAATTCGGATCCGCTTAAAGCTTTGTCCCGAAAGTTCCCAAATCGCGTTTCTGAACCGGCCTCTTCCCTCTGCTCCTGTATACCCTCCTAATTCAAACTCTCCCTCCCCCTCTCCTAAAACCACTCATACCTTTTCGAGTGCGTCTTTATCTCCGTCCCCTCTCCTCTCTTTTCTCCTTCCCCGGTTCCTTTTTCTTTCTCCCAGCCAAAATGCAGGCCTTCCGCCGTAACACCGCTTCTGCTCTTCGCAATGCTGCTGCCACGCAGCGCCGGGGATACGCAGCTTCAGCTAGCCCCATCTACTCTGAGACCGTTAACAACCTTCGCATCAACTCGGAGACGAAGGTGATCTTCCAAGGTTTCACTGGAAAGCAGGGAACGTACGTATTTTGTTCCATTTTGGAAAGGTTGTCAAGGATATATCGCTGACGTTGCTTTTTTCCCGTCCGGGTGCAGTTTCCATGCCGAGCAAGCCATCGCCTACGGTATTAATCTTTCCAATCCCTCCCTTTACCCCCATCTGCGCAGGCGCCAAGCGGAAAAGAAGCCTCTAAATGGTCACGTATGCGAAACTCACAACTGCCAGGCACCAAGGTCGTTGGTGGAACCAACCCTAAGAAGGCCGGATCCCTGCACCTCGACAGACCCGTTTTCGCCAACGTGAGCGAGGCTGTGAAGGAGACTGGCGCCACTGCTACTGCGCTTTTCGTTCCGTAAGGACCCGGTGTTGGTGGATTGAACATGCACATGCGAGGTGCTAATGATCGCAGTCCTCCATTGGCTGCCAAGGGTATCGAGGAGGCCATCGAGGCCGAAATCCCTCTGGCTGTCTGGTACGTACCTTGTTGAACTTTCGGAAAGTGGGTTGGCCGCTGATCTTGATATAGTATCACCGAGGGTATCCCTCAGCACGGTATGTTCTCTTAGATAAGCGAGCGCTTTAGATGCCTGTTCGGGTCGGAAGACTGATAAACGAGTGCTCAGACATGGTCCGTATCACGGACATCCTGAAGACGCAGAACAAGACCCGTCTTGTGGGTCCTAACTGCCCTGGTATCATTGCTCCCGTAAGTACCCAAGCCAAAGCCACTAGTGATCCCTGGCAATAACATCTGGTGTTATTTGATGCGCTAGGGTCAATGCAAGATTGGTATCATGCCCGGATTCATCCACAAGCGTGGCCGTGTCGGTATCGTCTCTCGTTCCGGTACCCTGACCTACGAGGCCGTCAACCAGACCACCCAGGCCGGTCTGGGTCAGTCTCTGGTTGTCGGTATCGGTGGTGACCCCTTCTCCGGAACCAACTTCATCGACTGCTTGAAGATCTTCCTCGAGGACCCCGAGACTGATGGTATCATCATGATCGGTGAGATCGGTGGTAGCGCTGAGGAGGACGCCGCCGAGTTCCTCAAGGCCAACAACAAGTACAACAAGCCTGCTGTTGGTTTCATTGCTGGTATCAGTGCTCCCCCGGGCCGCCGTATGGGTCACGCCGGTGCCATCGTCAGCGGCGGCAAGGGTGGTGCCGACTCGAAGATCTCTGCTCTGGAGAAGGCTGGTGTCATCGTCGAGAGAAGTCCCGCTGCTCTTGGCAAGGCCCTGTTGGCCGAATTCGTCAAGAGGGACCTGGTCTAGATTAAGTGATCATCAATCACTTTTGCACCCGGCGGAGATATGACATAATCCTGCAGCGTTTGTTTTTGGTTGGTATGAGCGATTTTTCTTCTTTATCAATCAGGCAGACATGTGAAGGATGTCGTACTTCTGCTCATCCTTTCCATTTATCATTTAGACGACCTTTTCTCCTTATTTGCCCGAGCCATGGTGGCCGTCCTGTATTTTCTATCTGATCTCTTATCCCCCTCGTCGATATATTTCCTTT